GGGGCGGGGCCATGCGGCGATCGGAGCACAACATGCATATTTTCAAAATGATTCACTGAAAACCGTTAATTTTTTCCTAGAAGTGAATAAATGTATCTGTATTTATAAATATATGCTTTCACTGCTGCCACCAACTGTTCTGGAGGGGAACTGCTGGTTCTGAAGGCGAGCTCTGAATTTGAGTCGCCTCGTCATGGGAACGGCAGGGAAGGAATCCTGGCCAATCCCCATTGGCTCTCCAGAATGTCCTGCAGTAGAGGGGAGTGCAGGTTATTTATAAATATTAATATTCATTGTCAGACTTCATTGTTGCAGATCAAGATTCCAGAGAATCACAGGAAGAGGAGTCTGGAGTTTTAATCTGAATCTTTATGGAGTTGTGAGTTCTTCTGCTATGATTCATCAGGATAATCTGCTTTATGATGATCAGCTGGCGATTAGCGTCACTGACCCGGTGCTGGCTCAGACCAGACCCGGCAGTACCGACATGGAGGGCACCCAGAAGAACGCAGGTGAGTCTGCAGGAAACAGGGGAGGCAGCCAATCAGAGCGCAGCAGGAAACCGTTTGTGTGTGATTTCAGAGGAGGGGGGGGAGATCAGGAGGCTGGGGAAGAGGTTCCGGAAACTGGACCTAGATGGATCCGGATCCCTACGCGTGGACGATTTCATGTCTCTGCCAGAACTCCAGCAGAACCCGCTGGTCCGGAGAATCATCGACATCTTCGACACGGACGGGAACGGGGAGATCGACTTCATCGGTATGAACAGTTCAGTCACGTATGAACAGTTCCAGCGGCAGAGCCGGAGAAAATGGGCCCCAGTAAATTATACAGGAGGCTGGCCCAGTCATTGTTTCACTCATGGTTTTGCCAATATTTTCTCCAAGTGTTTTCTGGGTAAAACACACTAACCAATACTTATGTCCGTCCCTCCCCCCAATGTAGAAGCTACACACACATACAGGGGCCCGGTCATTAGCCCCGCCCCCGGCCCGACGCTGACTTGTTCCGCCACTGAACAGTTCAGTCCTGTATGAACAGTTCAGTCCTGTATGAACAGTTCAGTCCTGTATGAACTTTGTCTTCATCATGATGTTATAATTTAAATCTGAATTTCTTTACTGCTTTGAACAGATCAGAGGTTTTGAATGCGAGTTTAGAATATAATTTCCAACATTATTAAAACTTTTCCAGTTCAGAGGGACGAGGATCAGATTTAGTTCAGGTCGGAAACGGAGCGGAGTCAGTCCGGCTCTCTGAGCGGCAACATGAACAGCTTTTAATAATTCTTTATGCAAAGCATTTTTTCTAATGGGGGAAATATTCTCATCACTTTCTGATAACTTAATAAATGTTGAGTTCTGATGCCAGCCGGTCCGGTTCAGGTTCCTGACTTTCAGATGGGAGGTCAAAGGTCATCTGGCGGTTCTGGATCTGAGGAGGAAATGTTCAGACTTTAGAGATTTGTACTGACCGATTATTGATCAATTATCTGTGGTTGAACCTGCTGTGCTCCGGTGATCAGGTCCGGTTCTGGTCCCAGCCCAACGGTCACAGCAGATTGATTATTGATCATCAGGAGCATATTTGACCCCGGTTTGACCCCACTGTCCTCCGCCCCTCAGAGTTCATCAGAGGAGTGTCTCAGTTCAGCGTCAGAGGGAACCAGCAGCAGAAGCTAAACTGTGAGTCCAGATCCATCTCTGCTCCGGTCCGGTCCGGTTCTGTCTGACCCGCTCTGCTTGTGTCCGGGTCCAGTTGCCTTCCGGGTCTACGACGTGGATAAGGACGGCTTCATCTCCAACGGCGAGCTGTTCCAGGTGCTGAAGGCCATGGTGGGCTCCAACCTGCAGGACGCCGCGCTGCAGCAGGCCGTCGATAAAACCATCCTCGGCGCCGACCGCGACGGAGACGGACGGATCTCCTTCCACGAGTTCTGCACAGTGAGCCGGTCTGCTCCAGAACCGGCCGCTTCTGCAGAACCAACTGTCCTCTGACCTCACTTCCTGTTCCTCTGCAGATTGTGGGTGAGCTGGACTTCACCAAGAAGATGGTGGTGGACGTCTGATTGGACCAGAACCGTCAGCAGAACCAGGTCAGACGGGAGGTTGTGGATCTGGTGGTGTCTCATCAGCATGGACACACCCAGCTGGGACACCGCTGGTCCAGAAGGTTCTGGTCCTCAATAAAACCCATCAAACCTGAAGTAAACCTTCTAAATGATCTTACTTTGACTAGACTTCAGATGTCGTTTATTGATGGATAAAGGTCTCCTGTGATTGGCTGATGAGCGCCACGGCTGAATCATTAATATTACTAATGTCTACATCTGAATATTAATCGCGTGGAGAAACTTTTTCACTTGTGATTTTAAAGTAATTTATTTAATGGAAAAACACAAATTGCAAATTTGTAATAGAAATATTTTCACCATTTTAAACTTATTTCAGTAACAAAGCTAAATACGGTTAGCCGTTTAAGCTTGCTATCTTCCTTAGCTGGGCAAGCTCTTAGCTTTCTAACTAAATATGTTGATGCGATTTTAATACTTGCCTTGCCAACTAGTTTGAAATTGTGACATTTATAAATGAACTGCATGCTGAAAAATGATTCAGCATTTTGTTTTCTCTATGGCTGCTAAACAATCCAAATTATTGCCGTTAGTTTTTGACTTTGTCTTCAGTTTGGAGACAGGAAGCTGCAGGAACTCATCACTTCCTCTCACCTGGAGATGATTCATCAGGTCACTGCAGCTCAGGTAAAGTCCTTTTTAATAAGGTGCAAATCAGTGACGGTAACTGAGGCCTTAAAGGGACAGTACAACAGGAAGGACGTCCAGAAACCTGCTGCTCAGTGAGCCTCAGCAGCTCATGATGACATCACAGAAGGTAGATTGATTTCAGTCCGGCAGAAATCATCAGCTTTAGGGATAAAACATAAATGCTGAGGATGAAATAAACTGTTGATGTTTCTGAAACTTGAAAAACGTTTTTAAGGAATTTCCATAATTTCCATTTCAGAACCAAAACAAACAGAACCGACAGAAAAAGAGTTCAAAGTCCTGCTGCGGCTTGTCCTGCGGTTCCTGAACGCATCATCACCGTTTTAAACCCACAGCATTATAAACTGGTTCTGGGTCAGCCGGTTCCGGTCACGGCCAGCCGCCGCCGCCGCCTCTCCAGCGCCTGCTGCTTCTTTAGCTCTATTTCAGCGGCCGAGCATTTCCCTGCAGCGACAGGAAATGACATCAACTCCACACGTGATGAAACAGCAAAACCTGATTGGCTGTTTCCATGGGAACAGCAGGTTGGGCGGGTAAACTGATGACGGGGGGGGTCTCACCTTTCCCCGTTGACATGGTTACCAGGTCCGCGGGCTTCCTGAAGGTGAAGTGCTGGGTGTCTTTTTGTCGCGGCGCCGCAGACGGTTCTGACCCGGTTCGGTTCCTGAACACGGCACTGACAGCAGGCGGAGGCAGCTGGAAGCCGATTGGCTGCTTCACCGGAGCGGTGGCCAATGAGCAGCCAGCTGGTCCGGCCGGGTCCGGTCGGATCCGGTTCTCAGAGGTTCTGTGGGTCAGCTGCAGGGCCGCTCTCTGATCGGACGCGGTCCGGTCCATTTTTACCTGGATCCGGTTCTCCAGGTCTTCACACATCTCACACAGGAGGTCATCAGCCGGGCCGTCCCAGACCGGTTCCGACCGGAACAGAGAGTCCAGATCGCCCAGGACGTCCAGCCCGACAGAACCGGGCTGGATGTCAGAAATGGGCCGGCTCGTTGGGTTGCTCCAGAACCACTGGGATTCTGGTTCCAAGCTGCACATCTGACCCGGTTCTGGAGCTCTGGAGACAGAGGAGTACCGGTTCTGTTCTGGTCTCGTTTGGACCCACTTCCCGGAACCAGAACTCCAGTCAGGGTTCCAGGCTGGACCCAGGTTCTCTTTCTCAGTTCTGGTTCCGACTGACGGAGCAACCCAATTCTGACCAGAACCAGCCGTGTTCTGGGTGGAGCAGAGCTTCGGAACCAGGAAGTGGTCTGGGTTCTGGGTCATCTCCAGAACCAGCGAGTCGTTAAGCAGGTCGTCGTTCTCCCAGTCGTCCTCTAACTGGTTCTGAACCGAACCGGGTCCACTGCACGTCCTGGAGCCGGCTGGACCAGAACCACACAGGGACGCTGAACCGGGTCGGTTCTGAGTTGGACCTCGACTCAGGGTTCTGCTCGGCATCTGGGTCGGACCATCAAACAGGAAGTCCAGGTCGTCCTGCAGGAAGTCTGGGTCAGGCCGTGGTTCCAGTCCAAAAGAACCTGGTCCCTGATCTTCCTCGGTCAGAACCTCCTCCAGGTTCTGGTTCTGGAACAGGTTCTGGTCCAGCTGCCTGGCGAGTCGCAGCAGGTTCTCCACTCTGGTTGCTCTGCAGGAAACAGAACCAAAGTTAAATTCTGGTTCTGGAGCCGTTCCATCCTGCCACGCCGACCAGAACCGGGCCACTTGGTTCTGGATCTCAGCTTCTGCCAGAACTAATCTTCAGAACTCCTCTGCTCAGAACCGTTCTGATGGATCCAGAACCTGCCCATCAGAACCCACCTGGGAGAGCGCCTCTTGGCCCGCGGGCCCTGAGGGTCCGGGGTGCAGGAAATGGCGGCGCTGTCTCCGATCCACTGCTGCAGTGCCGGTTCTGTGATCCGCGGCCGGCCGTGCTGCAGACACAATCAGAACATTAGCCGGGGTTCTGGTCCGGCCCGGTTTCACCGGACCCAACCAGACGCTGCTGACCTTTGGAGCGATTCTGCTGACGATCTCTGAGATGTTCACGGCGCCTCCAGCGGCGGCCTTTTTTCCTCTTGTTCCTGAACGCAACACAACGCAATGTCACGGAACCGGAGCAGGAAGCGGAGAACCTGGAGGTTCTCCCAGAACTTTACCGGATCGGCGGGGCGACGGGGACGCGGCGTCCCAGACGATGTCCTGCTGGAGATCCGGGTCGTTGTGCGGGGAGTCCGGGCCCGGAACCGGAACCAAACTGGGTTTGGTTCTAGAGATTCTGTTGGGAGTCTTGAACTCTATGAAGACGAAACTGTTAGAATCTGGTCCAGAACATTTTCACGAACAGAACCAGAAGTGAGCAGAACTCTTATAGTGGATCAAACATCCCGATTACAGTTTTCAGATTTCACCTTCATGTTTTCATTAAATTGAACCGAACCGAACCTTGACTGTCTGGGTTCTGACAGACAAACTGAAACATTTCGAGATATTTAAATTGGATTTGACAAATCAGAAATCTGTTCGGTGCCGAATAGAAGTCTAAACAGAACTCTTTTGAAAGATCCTTGTTTCTAGATCGGAACCGGCTCACCAGCAGATAAATCTGGAGAAAACCTAAAACCAACAGATTTCTGAATAGAATCAGGCGGACAGCCTGAAACGGGACCCGAACAGAACCTGTCGGTTCAGACCTGGTTCTCTCCGGTTCCGAGTGGATTCCAGGACCACCGCCGCTCCCGTCTGGCTCTGTCTGAGGCTGCGGCTCAGGCGGTTCCTCCTTGGAGGTCCGGCCGCCGTCAGCGGCTCCTCCGCAGCCGGAACCTCCAGCCGCCTTCGGCCACCGTTCATAGCGGACTGCGGATAAAACTCAAACTGACATCAGTTCAAAATTATTTGGAGAATTTGAACCTCGCGCCATGTTGTCTCTTTCCCAGAGTTCCTTTCGGCAGTGCGTTCAAGAGCATCAAACTAAGCGGGAAATGCATATTCCGAGTTTTTCATTCGGAGTCAATGAAACTAAATTTGAATTTTTTTTACTTTTATGTTTATATCGAACCTTTTAACAGAACAGTTATAAAACACAAACTTTACCTCAACAATCAACAGCAATATTAATGACGTAGGCCAAAAAAGGCAGCTGAAGTTCTCCTTGAACATGTCAGGTGGAAAGACTTTCCTGTAATATTTCGCCTTCTAGTTTTACTCTGGCTGGTTTAGTTCAGTCTTCATACCTGAGTCAGGTAACCCGAGGCTCAGGACTGCATGTTGTGTAAATATTTGTTTCCAGCAGGTGAACAATGTAACGCCAGTTTTTTCTGTCTTCTGATGTTGATATAATCTGATCCAAAATGTTCGTAAAATAATTTAATCTGGGCAGAATGTTGACCAAAAAAAGTAATTACATTCTGACCAAACATCCCGACTTCATCATGGTATAATCACAATAATATTGTGGCATTTTGTTCTGAATTTAGTTAATTTAATTTACCGTAAATCCCGGACTACAGAGCGCACCTGATTATAAAACGCACGCTCTAATTTCAAAAAGAAAATTAATTTTGATTTTTTATAAGCCACACCAGATTTTAAGCCGCAGATTTCTCTACTGCTCCAGGTTTTCCACAGCGATGCAGCAGCAGCAGAGGGGCGGACAGCCGCCATCTGAGTCATAACAGGTCAATTAAATATCACATTTATTATGGTTGAAAAAGAAAAAGGTGCCAAGTTTAGATTTAACTGAACTGATTACGGTAGTTTCCGAACGGTAACTGTAACAGTAAAAGTGCTGATCCTTCGTGTTGCTACTAGCATGAGCTAAATGAAAATGGGCGCTTCCTTCTTCTTCTTCTTTAGATTTCAACAGCAGCTTGCATCCATTATTGTTGCACTACTGCCATCTACTGGATCCTAATATCTATACCTCAAATTCTCATAATGATCCCAGTATTATTTAAAAAACGAAAAATCTTCTTTTTCTCCTCAGTGCTATGTACTGATTAAGAACATTCTCAAATTTCAATTCCCTATTAAAACCTAATTACGTTTTAATGGCGCTTTCTTCTTTTATTTCCAATTTTGACTTCCAATGATTCACTTCCTGCTAAAGAGCCCCCTGGTGGTTGAAGAAAAATCCACATATGAGCCGCATGGTTCAAAGCTTAGGAAGAAAGTAGCGGCTTATAGTCGGGAAAATACGGTAGTTTATTTTTTTTCCTATTTCTGGTATTTAGTTTCATTCTTGTCCATTTCTGCCACGAATAAAACAATAAAAGCCCAACCAAAAGGAGGAGCTTAGCGCTGTCAATCAACTCATGTACTCACTGCTAAATGTGTTAATGGTGGACAAACAACTTATTGCTACAGAAAAGCCGTTTATCTACCGTCACTGGTGGCAATGCTAATTAGCATTAGCATTCATGGCAAGTTATGCTAATGCACTGATTGATGCTTAGTGCTGTCAACCAGTTGTTGATTGACAGCACTAAGACCCGCCTCCTGACTCTGATTGGTTGTTTCTGACTGATGTTTTTATATTAAACCTGATTATATTATGTTAAATATGTAAAAATATTTTTTAAAATAAATGTAAAACTCTAAATTATGACTTTCTGTTGTGCTTTTATTTATGTATTTTTCATGGCGGAAATGGGCTTCTATCAGGACCCAGTACTGGTACCATCCTGTTATACCAGAACTGGATCCAGCTCAGAACCAGAACCAGAACTATTGAGACAGAGCAGCCCATTATTATTAATTATTATTATTATTATTATGTTGTTGTTGTGGTGGTGAAGACACGTGATCCTTGCGGTCCTTCGGGTCTGACGTCACCCTCCCTCCCTCAGTCCATCATGGAGTGAGGAGGAGGAGGAGGAGATGGGGATCGTGCGGTGCCTTCCTCCCCGACACCAGAACCTCCTGCTCGGTCTCAGCGTTCCCGGCCCGGTCCGGAGGAGGCGGCGGGGCTGAAGGAGGAGGACGATCCGATGGGAGGAGGAGGAAGAGGCGTCAGAACCGCATCCACCGCCGCCGCCGCTGTGGAACCATGAAGTCGCCGCACCGCGCGGCGGCCGCGGCAGCTCGACCAAAGCGGAGCTGAACCGGAGAAGATGAACGAGGAGCCGAGGCCCGACGAGTGAGTTCCGGTTCTGTTCGTGGTTCTGGTGCGGTATCGGTCTGAGCTCCACTGATGAAGAGGATGAGCAGGGCCTCCTCTTCATCACCGAGGCAAGAGGTTCGGGGGATGAGGGTGACCCGGTTCGGTTCTGAAGCTCAGGTTCCTGAAATGCTGCATGTTGTGAGTCATCGTCAGAGATCAGCTGCCGGTTCTGGTTCCTTGTGGACCTCAGCTGCTCCAGGAGGTTTCCCAACAGGAGAACCGGAGCTTTCAGAACACTGGAGGTTCTGGCCAGCCGGGCCGGTCGGTCCACAGAACCAGCAGCAGAAAGCCTGGAGAGGTTCTGATCAGAGCGGGTTCTGTGACGTGGTTCTGTTCTCGGCGTAGAGGTTCTGACAGGACAGGTTTGTTCATTAAATATGGACCAACGTGGGCCCGGTTCTGTTTCCAGAACCTGACAGAATTAAAACCCAGGACGTTTCCAGGTCCAATGCTTGGTTCTGTAGAACCAGCCTGTGTGACAGATCTGGATGGATGGAGGTTCAGATGGAGTTGGGCTGATGATCCGGTTCTGGTTCTGGTTCGCTCCTCCTCTCCTCTCTCAGCTGGATCTCAGGAACTTGCTGTTGGGTTGATCCAACAAGGCGAACCCGTCCTGGTCTTCTGGTTCTGTTTGGTTCTGTTTTGGTAAAGGCAGTTTCCACCCTGTGTGTTCTGATGACCTTTGACCTGTGTTGCAGTGACAGCTACATCGTGCGGGTCACGGCGGTGGTGATGACCCGGGACGAGTCCAGCGGCGGCTGGCTGGCGCTGGACGGCTGCCTGAGCCGGGTCGGGGTCTGCCGGCTGCGGCCCGACGGGCTGCAGGGCCGGAACAGCTTCCTGATCCACGGGGAGCGCCTCAAGGACCGGCAGGTGGGCTCGGTCGGTACTGGTTCTGCAGGGCTGGTACTGGTCCAGAACACCAGGCTTAAAAACAATCAGCAGAGTGTTGAGATCAGAACTTTGTCCCATAAAACTGCAACAAATTGAAAATGTTCCGTCAGCGTGGAGCAGAAGATCCAAAACCCCAGAAAGTCAGAACCGTCTGATCCAGTTTGGGTTTTTCAGTCGGAGCAGAAAAACTGCAGGTTCATGTTTCACTGTCATATTTCAGCGACTTATTGATTCTTTTATTCAGCAAGTTAAAACTGAAGTTCGCTTCAAACTACATAATAAATACTGGCAGCATTAGTTATTCAGACGGAAATAATGTCAGAAACAAACTTTATTTAATTCTGTTTGGTTCTGTTTTCTGGTCCAACTGTCTCTCTGGACTCCAGGTGATCCTGGAGTGTTTCTTAAGGAAAGACCTGGTCTACACAAAGGCCACGCCCACCTTCCACCACTGGCAGCTGGACAGCAGGAAGTGCGGCCTGACCTTCCAGTGTTCGTCCGACGCCCGCGCCTTCGACCGCGGCGTGAGGCGAGCGCTGGAGGACCTGGCAGAAGGTACGGGGGACACCGCCTGCAGAGGGGACGACCGTCCGACAGGGGACACCGGGGAACATGAAAGGGGACATTAGAGGGGACATCTGAGGACATTAGAGGGGACATTAGAGGGGACATCCTGCTCTGGGTTACTGAAGCTGACCCAACACTGATCTGTGGGACCCAACGCTGATCTGTGGGTCCCAACGCTGATCTGTGGGTCCCAGCTGTGTTCCTGCTACCAGCAGGGGGCCCTTTGATCCTGATCCCACTGGAAGTCGGTGGTTTGGGCCTCTAGTTGGGACGGGAGGAGGTCCTGCTAGAACCAGAACCTGCAGGAAAGAGGATATGTCCCTTTTGGCTGGGAACGCCTTTGGACCCCTCAGACTAGAGCCATGTTGGATTTCCCTCCTGTTACCATGGCAACCTGATCTCTGATAAGGAGTAGACAATGGAGGGATAGATGGAGGTTCATCTCCGAGGACAACTGAAGACTGACCTGGAGAAAGATCCGTGTCAGAAGAGAGCAGAAGCCTGAAGTGAGGCCAAACTTCCTGCTCCGTCCTGAACCGGGCCCTCGGCGGTTCCTGTAGCGGTCCAGAGGGAGGAAAGCCCTGAATCGCTGATCCCTGATCTGCTCTCTGCTCCACAGGTTCCACCACGTCTTCATCAACGCTGCAGAACGAAGCCGAGCTCGGGGACGACGACGTCTTCACGGTGAGGAGCTGTTCTGATGAAGTGTGAATATTTAAGGTTTGATGACGTTCCATCAGAAAAATCGTCTGGAGGTGTGAAGATCCAGCAGCTTACAGCATTAAAGTCTTGTAGAAACGGAGAAAAATAATAACTGAGAAAAAATATCAGATCAGAAAAAGAAAAGATTTCAGGTCTGCTGCTTCCTGTTTGAGTCCAGCAAGATTTCTGCATAGATCCATTATAGATCTGTAATAGATCCATCATAGACCTGTTATAGATCCATCATACCATAAAAACTTTATTTATAAAGCAGTTTTACACCAACAGGACCACAGTGCTGTACACAATCATAAAATACAATGCAATTATACAATAGAAAAGATCGAATATAAAATACATATTAATATACAGACAGAATAAAACAAAGTGAATTGTGCCAAAAGCCAAAGAAAAAAGATGGATCTTAAGAAGGGACTTAGAAACAAGAAGCCGGTCTTATCCCAAAGGAAGATCACTCTGCAGCTTGGAGCTGCCATAGAGAAAGCTCGGTCCCTTCTGAGGGAAAAAAACTAATAAAAGTTTAACATGAATCCTAAAATGTACTGGCAACCAGTGTAAGGATGCTAAAATAGCAGAAATGCGGTCAAATTTTTGTGCACCTGTTAAAAGACATGCAGCAGCATTTTGTACCCTCTGAAGCTGGGAAATATATAAATAACAGACTCCTATATAAAGTGCATTACAGTAATCCAACCGTGTGGTCACAAATGCATGGATCACTGTTTCGAAATGCTGTCTGGAAAGAAAAGGTTTTACTTTGGCTAGCTGCCTTAAGTAGAAGAAACTGGATTTTACAATGGCTCCAATATGTGCTTCCAGCTTAAGACCTGCATCCTTCTTGACCCCTAAATTTGTAATAACCAGCTTGACATACTGGGCCAAGGAGCAAAGATTAGTCAGGGAGTCTAGTGGATCTGCCAAAAACCACTACCTCTGTCTTATCTTCATTATGTTTCAAGAAATTTAAGGCCACCCAAGCCTTCAAATCTTTCAGACATAAAATCAGAGACCGAAGAGAGGTGGAGTCTGCATTCTTTAGCAGTATATATATCTGTGTGTCGTCTGCATAACAATGAAAAGCAATCCCAAACTTTCTAAAAATAGAGCCGAGAGGAAGGAAGTACAATAAAAAGAGTAGAGGGCCTAGAACTGAGCCCTGTGGGACGCCACACGACAGTGGAGCAGAGGAAGACCTATGGTACGGCAGCCGACAGGCGCAAACGCGCAGCAACAGAGAAAAGATGCAAACAAAAAGGGCTGAAAACGGAAGTGCTCCAGACCACTAGAGGGAGTCGAACAAAAAACAGCTGTGTCCGAATTTAGGGTCTGCATCATAGACATAATATAAGGATAGACCCTCATGGACCGCTCTCGCCTATTGTCGCTGACGAGATTTAGGGCGGCCATCTTGGAGCGGTACTCCACTCCACTCAGCGTTATGTGTTTAGCAACACAATGACGTATCAGCGCATTTAATCGATCATAACACGCTTTTTTGTTTCTGTAAACCATATTCAAACATCTATCAAAGCTACATTTATAAACAATTGTATTTTTTAAGTATGTTTTTAATACATAGTTCATCATATTTAAATATGCCTAGTAGCTATAGCAATAGAATTGGAATAGAATATTCTGATATCGATGTATGAAGAGCATATTACAAAGCACACAGCCGTTCATCATTTCTTTAATAAATTATTTAGTAATATCAATACATATTTATATAACTATACAAACTGTACAAATAAAGATTAATAATGGCACAAATAAATAATGATTAATACTGAATTATATATATATATATATATATATGTTTTTCAGCCGACGAGTCCAAAATCCGATGTGAGATTCATCCGTGCTGCAGTGAATCCGTCTCTCTTTATAGATATCTCCCTCTTCTTCCTCACATCGTCTTTAGGAAACTTTCAAAACAAAAACGGAAGATTTAGGATATATCTTACTTGACAGAGTGAAAGAATATAAATAATAGTCTTTACCACCTGTGTAAACTTTGCTGGTGAATGTTATAACACATAATATAAGTTTTATATGTTACATTGTTTCATTTCTAATATAGGCTCTTGTGTCAGATAATCTAAGTCAATGTTAGAGAATAATTATTTTTTTTAGATTTACAGAATCTCAGTTAGCCTTCATAGCGGGGCTGAACCCGTATTACACCAAGCACTGTAGCTAATATTAGCTGCTATCTCGCCGGTGGACATAAATACAGTAAAGTAATATTCTAATCACAATATATACACAATAATATGTCCATCTTACTTGTGAAATGTTGTCTGTGGAGCCCTCGCATAATCCATCGACCAGAACAACAATATCCCTCAGTGCTGAGGCATCTTCTGCTGTTTTGGTTGAGCAAAGTAGGAGGGATGACCCTTTTTTTTGTTTGCATCTTTTCTCTGTTGCTGCATGTTACTTTACTGTATTTATGTCCACTGCATGTTTGCAGCAGCAGAGAAAGACCACTAGAGGGAGTCGAACAAAAAACAGCTGTATCCGAATTCAGAATCGGCCGCCGTACTATGGGCATCTAGACAGACACAAAAGTACGCTCGGCCAAATAAGATTTAAACCAATCCAGAACTATATGACCGATGCCCTCCCACTTTTGGAAATGGGAAAGCAGAATGCCATGATCAACTGTATCAAAAGCAGCTGATAAATCCAACAGCACCAAGACAACACAGTCACCAGAATCAGTTGCCAAAAGTATCAAAAACTTTTAAAGGAGCTGACTCTGTGCTATGAAATGGTTTAAAACTGGACTGAAAAACCTCTAAAATATTATGTTCACTAAGATAAGCCATTAGCTGATTATAGACTAGCTTCTCAAGATTTTTTTTTTAAATAAAAAGCAGTTTAGAGATAGGCCTATAATTCGCCAGAAGAGTAGGATCCAGAGTCGGTTTCTTAAGTAGAGGCTGCAGAACTGCATGAGTTTTAGGAACAACACCTGAAGACGGGCTGCTATTTACAAGAGCAAGAACTGAAGGACCTATAGTAAGAAAAACATCTTTAAATAACTGGGGTGGAATAGCATAATCCGGAGAACCAGTTGGCCTTAAGTGCCTAACCACATCCTGCAAAGATTGCAAGGTCACTCATTCAAAGCTGCATAAAACAGCAGAACAAGGCACAACGACTGAAGGGTGATGAGCAGAGGGGAGAATCTGGGCCCTAATAGAAGCAGCTTTCTCAACAAAAATGTGTAAAAAGCTTTCAAACCTAGTAGGTGAGGTCTCCATAAAACCACTATATGAGTCATTTAGGACTGAGTCAATAGTTTTAAATAAGATGGCAGGATTGTGACTGTTTGAGACAATCAGACCCAACAGGTGCCTTCTTGGGCGTCTTTCACAATCCTTTGATTACAGCGCCTGCATTCCTTCAGTATTTGGAGCGAGACCTGTAATTTGTCCTATTTTCATTTGCGTTCAGCTCTGGGACAGAAACCTCATTTAGCCAGGGCTCACTCTTTGGTTTTGAAAGTCTGATTTTTAGGTGCCACCAAATCCAGAGCTGTTTTACTGGTAGAATAAGACCATAGATCCGTCATAGATCTGTTATAGATCTGTCACAGATGCTGTTCAGGTAGAACCGCTGGCTGTGGCGGTGCGTCTCCAGCTGAGAGGCTTCAGACAATTAATGATCCACCAGGAGTCTGAACTGATGATCTTCTTCTCTTTGCTCCAAGCCCAGGAGATTAAATCAGCAATAAATTTCTGCTAAACCAAAAATACATGGACAACTAACCCAGGAATCCTTCCATAACCTGGAAATGAATAAAATCACAGCTAGAATGAAATTACACATCAGGCTTTTTAAAAATGTTACCTTTCAAATGCTTCTAATAACGAGTAATTCATTTCTAAATCAAATTATTTCATTAAACAATTCAAACTTTTGTATCAGGAAATAGTTTACAATAGATACAAGAAACTGTCTTGTTATACTATTTTGTTACACAGCATTGTTAATGTTAATATTATCATTACTGTTGTTAATACTGTTAGCACTAACATTAGCATATTATTGAATGTATTGCATTAAGCATGAATCTGAAATGAATAGTTATTTAATAAATATTGAATGAACAATATTCATAAACAGGATGAGATAATTTTGAGATGTTTTTGGAGAAGGTTGGGTTTTAATACGTTTATACTTCTACCCACTCCTTAAGACCCTACTGAAGAGCAGGCACAGTGGCATGGGTGGGCATTGGGAGGCATTGGCCACCCATGTCCCCCATATACCCCAATGGAGGCATTGGGGGACATTGGGGGGCATTGGGAGGCATTGGGGGGCATTGGGAGGCATTGGGGGACATTGGGAGGCATTAGGGGACATTGAGGGGGCGTTCACAGAATCAGCCATGCCCCCCTGGACTGGAAGCTGTTTGTTGTTTTTACCTCAGAGTGGCCAACTCTCTGTTATTTCTATAACGATTTGATACAGTAGGGGCTTCCGCACTTCGCATATCCGTGCCCTCTGTCACTTTTTTCAGCAGTTAAAACTGTTAAATCCATTGTTAAGGTTCTGTATTGATATTAGCTAGTCATCTTTTAGCTAACATTAGCTAGTCATCTTTTAGCTAACATTACCTGCATCCAACAGCTTTACTCAACTCAGTTGGTTAGTTTGGGGGGAAGAAAAACTGTACAAAGTTCTTTGCGTGTTGCTGGTTTGCTGCCGTGATTCTAACACACCTGAGCAGCTCCGCCCAGCAGCAGCAGGTCTCCGTCGCTGCCGCACAGGTGGAAACCCAGCGCGAGCGTCTCAGCGTTCATGCTGTGTTTGAAGGCGGCTCGGAAAAACAGGTTATGACGTGTTAAGCTTGTTAACAGGTAGCCTGTAGGCTGCTGGTGTTGTTGTCTACGTTCAGCTACATAGATTCATTTTGCCCCCCTAAAATAAGTCGATCCCCTCCTGTTAAACTCGTCTGGAGCCGAGGCTGTACTTGTAGTATTTTGTAGTAGCTTTAAGACTCAGTTCTGAACTGTAGCTATTTTTACTAAACCAATAAAATTACAAAATCACCTTCTCTCTCATTGTGCAACTAATTCTGGCCTAGTCAAAGGATACAGACCCTTAATATTAGCATCATTAACATTAGCATTTCTACAACAATAGAAATGCACTACAATGATGTTAAATGTATTTAAAACAATATGACAAAGTCCAGCAAGCTGCAGATGTGTTTATTTGTAGAGGTTTTTCAGTATCTGGTAGCTAGCTGTGTAGGTTAGCTTTACGTTAGCAATAATAAGCTAAGTGAGCTAGTTCCCACAAGCTATATCTGTACAAGAGATATAGCTTCACCACCTCTGTTCACCAAGCTAAATCCTGTTAGCCTGGGAGCCCATAGGACCTGCCCTCTACTGGACGCTCTGGGCATCACAACCTGATGTATCTGGATGGGTTTTCAGTTCTTCCATCTCCTCCGTTTGTCCTGCAGACGGCCACCGACAGCTCGTCCAACTCGTCTCAGAGGAGAGAGCCCGCCATGCACGCGGCACCGGCTCATTTCTGCGAGCCGCGCCGGCACAACTGCATCCTGGGACATTTCTATGAGCACCACCGGCCCTCGGACCACTACTTCCTGGACCCGGTGAGTCCGCAGCGCCTTTGTCCTGTAGCTTCTGCCTCAGGGCTACACAATATGTTGCAAATATAATATCAGTGTGCAGAGCAGAAACTTATTCTTAAGTTCGTCGTTTAGCCACTAGGACAGAAAATCATGGCAATAAAAACTCAAATGAGACACAAATAGCATTTCAAAAAACGGGCATATTTTGCTCCTGATATTGTCATCGCCACCACAAGGTTTTCTTGCAGCCCTACTTGCATCAAGTTGTAGAAACATTGAGGTTTGTTTCTGGGACTCATGCGCTCCCCTCGGCTCTGGCAGGCGGTCCACATCTTTCCTCGTCACGCCAGCTTCCCTCTGGAGGATCAGGAGATCGTTCGCTTCAGTCCCCGTGAGCGCAGCTGGCTCACCGGCTACGAGGACTACCGTCACGCCAACGCCACGCGAGACAAGCTCCCACAGCCGCGCAACCCGGACACCTGCGTGCATTTCACCAAGAGCGACGCGCCCAAACGCGACTACACGTACCCGTACCCGCTGAGCTGCGGCGTGCAGCAGGGCTTCGACAGCAAGCCGGGCCGCCTGGAGGCGGGTGGCGGCCGCAGGGCGGTGGTGACGCTGCAGCCGCGGCCTCCGGCGTCCAAAGGGAAGTGTCACATGGAGGACGGGGAGCGGCTCCGCTGCGTCTACTGTCAGGACATGTTCAACCACGAGGACAACGGGCGGGGCCAGTGCCAGGAGGCGCCGGACCCCATCCAGACCTGCATCCGCCGGGTCAGCTTCATGTGGTGCGCCGACAGCCTGCTGTACCACTGCATGTCCGACCCAGAGGGCGACTACTCGGACCCCTGCTCCTGCGACACCAGCGACGAGCGCTTCTGCCTGCGCTGGACGGCGCTGGTCGGCTTGTCGCTGCTGGCGCCCTGCATGTGTTGCTACGCCCCCCTGAGGGCGTGCCATCGCTGCGGCGTGGCCTGCCGCTGCTGCGGCGGCAAGCACAGGGCCGTGGGCTGAGCTGCCGGAGGCCCCGCCCACTCAGCAGGCCCCGCCCACTCCACAGAGACCGTCACCGCTGTTCTTTCTGTTGTTGATGTGGTTCATCTGTAGAAGGAAGTGAAACTTCGTGTCAACTGTTGTGCTTTTTCTGTCACTCTGAGGACCAAAATGTCTCCATGAAAGTTTGGATATTTGGAGCCGCCAGGTTTCATGTCACCTGGAGAACGTCCAGAAGGATTCCTGCAGGTCAGTGAAGGTGGAGCTGAGTTTGTGGTGATGCTGTTCATCTGGAAGAAGCTGCTTCATTCTTTTGTTCAGCCAGAATATAACAGAAACTCAGACATTTATTCTACACAGAGGGATATTTCTGATATTTCTGGCTTACAGCTAATTATTAAAATTAGAAAACTTCACTTCCAAAAAAAGAAATAAAAAAGACTCCCCCAAACCTTCAGATGAGCTCTTCACTATTCTCTCAGTGTTGTTGGTTGTTCACCTTTTCTACACACTTTCTCCTTCCACTCAATTTTTCCTTAGTGGACTTGTACAGAGGGGTGTGTTAGCCGCCGCCTCATTCGCTGTTGCAGCTTCCCCTCCTTGTTGTCATGGCAGCAGTCTTCCTCATGACCGAACTGGATCGTTTTATTGGTCTGGTGGTTCGGGTTTTTCAAAATCTGAACAAGAAAACTGAAACTGGATGTTCATCCCTCTGTGTGGCATAAATATGAGACCTGATTGAAATTTACTTTTTTATCTTTCTAGAACTTAACTTGGCATTTTGGAAAAATAAAGTAAACATTCGTTACTGAAAAGTCCAAGATGGCCGCCATGGTTGTGAAGGAGAAAATATGTTTGCACTATAATCAGCAGTGTCCACAGCTAACCAAAACGTTACATTTGCTAATGACTTATTCGCTAAACAAAAACCTTAGCTCAGCTACACTAAAGACATAAAAACATTAGCAGAGATAATGCTAACCCGCTAAACATAAAAAATTAGCAGAAGCTAACCATTTAGTTGCTAATTTGTATGAACAGTTTGACCAAATTTTAAAACAATTGGTGTGACATAAAATTCATCCAAGTCATGAAAATGGTTAACATTTAATAGCAATTACTGGTTTAAAAGGCTCAAAAATGATGACGGCCATGTTGAAAAATGGTCGTCACCCTGAAATTCAAGTGGCTGATGGGAAAAATGAAAAATCTAAGACCTGAATTTTTATGCTTATATCCACACTGGAATTTTTTTTTACAGTAGAATGATGCATTTAACTGCTTATTGTAATGGAGAATCTCTTGGTTTATCACACACACACACACACACACACACACACCATGGCGGTAGGTAAAGTGTGTCAGCAGAGGCACTGTGGTGAAAACCAGCCGATGAGTCCTCAGCTCAGCTGCTCGGTTCTGGAATAGGCCGTCAAAACACGACGAGGATTTTTGGGCCCAGATTCCTCAGAATTGATGATTTTGGCTAAGTGGCGTAAAGTTTGGAGGAGCGTTGCTGCTCTGCTGTCTGGAGCCCCAGCAGACGCGCTGCAGCAGATAACAGGAACACATGCAGATTATCACAACCTGGGTTAAAGAACAACTAACAGAAATCAGAGCTGAAGTTTGAAATCTATTTTTTTATTGGTGTAACGACAGTTCCCCCAGCTCCCTGCCAGCATTTCAGAGCAAGGTTATAACTTGTATTAATACAGATATTTTTGATGCAACATAAGCTACAGAAACTATAAAGGCATCAACTCTGCAGCAGGAAGCAGTCGACTCGACATCGGGTCAGAACCCGGTGGGGAAACGATCCAGATGTTTGTTCTGATATAAATTTATTGACGTTTCTGGGCTGAATGTGTTTTTAAGTGTAGCTTGACATCGGGACAAATGGCGTTTGGGAAATTCATCTGTGGTTTTTAAGTTTAACAGATGATGAGTTTCAGTCCGGTCCGGTCTGGTCCGTGTGGCCTAGCTTAGCAGCGCCTGCTAGCGCCTAGCTTCCTGGTTGTCCTTGATGTTCATGTGCAAAGTTATCCAGTTCCTGTAAAGTCATTAGCAATGCTAGCAGTTAGCATCATGCTAACATAGGCCACACAGTGCTGCATTTGAAATGTTCTGCTGAAGCTCTGTGGCAAACAGGAAGTCAGGGTGGAAAACAGGAAGTCGGGACAAGATGAGGTCAGTTCCATCTGCTTTTCCAGATGTTTCCTGGTACAGACTGTAAAGTTGGTGGAAGGAAAACATCTGTGAAAACCGTCGGTGTTGGCCTTGCAGTCTACAGTCTGGTCAGAGCGCAGCAGCTGGTTTCCCTCCAGAGAGAAGCAGCAGTCTGGACCGTCATGTTCGCCGTCAGAGACGAGTCCCCAATAAAAAATGAAGCATCCAACAGGAAGTGTGTCTGGCGTCTGAGAAGCCACTTCCTGTCCATGTGTCGGCCAGCACTGGCTCTCTCCAGGGAAAGTGCCTGAAGCCTCTTCATCATGTCTTCATCAGTCTAATAACTATGATGAAAAAAGCAAAGGTGTAGTCCATCAGTTTGTCTTTTTATACATAATCACATTTATACCAGTGTAAAAACGGAATATATGAATATATACTGTATATGTATATGTATCAGGTCAGCAATGTACATTTTTCAGTTCTATTTTTTTATTGTTTCTAAAATGATGGATGTCAAAGATACAAAGAAAAAGACTAAAATCTGAAAAATAAAATAAAAGCTCAAATTTACTGAGTTTGTTTTGATTTTATTGATAGCGACTCGTTATGCAACAAGTCCGAGTTAAAAAGGTTCACCGGCACAGAGTTTCCAGGTGAAGGAGGTCAGGTTCCCATACATGCACAGGAACAACATGCAGAAAGACCCGGACCAGGAATCGAACCCAGGACCATCTGGGTCCTGTTTGAAGCAGCCAATCAGCCGTCTGATTGGCTGCTTCAAACAAGTCAAAACAACTTCTTCCCAGGTTAGTAGGACTCCAGTCAACATGTTCAACCAACATACGTGGCGTAGTGACTTCAACTTTTACTCAAATATAAAGATAGACATATTATAATACTTAATATGCAAGAGTTATTTTGCATATTAAGTATTATAATATTTAATTTCCCTTTGGGATCAAAAAAGTATTTTTGAATTGAATCGAAAACCACTAGTAAAATCTGTAATTTTGTTTATATTTGAAATTGTGTAAATGTGTTTAATTTCTTTTTTAACAATAGAACCAGGAGCAGACGGCTGCCTGTTGGATTCGGATGAACACGTTTTTTATATTCCATGTTCTAACGCCCGAAATCACAAAAGAGATTTGCTGTAATACAGACCGCTACACGAGATCTTTCCTGCCAACAGCCATCTCTGTCTACAATAAGTCTTTGAAGACTTTGAATTAATGCTTTACAATAGCTTTTAATTTCCCTTTGGGATCAATAAAGTAGTTTTGAATTTAATTTAATTTGAAAACTACAGTACCCATGATTCCTTTAGGCCAGTATTTCCGGGTTGGTGGTATTCAGACGGCCATATTTGATTCGGTTACACTGTTCTGACAACTACTCGCTTCAAAGTAACGACAGAACCAGTCCAGAATCTCTCCGAACCACATTCAGCTGCTTCCACAGACGACACACTTCACAACCAGCAGGCAACCATGAATCCGGAATAGTAAGTCTGGTTCTGGTCCGGACTGACACGTCCAGGTCCGGTCTGAGCTGTCACTTCACCGGGGAGGCTAACGCCTAGCTAGCCGGGCGCAGTGTCGCCTTAGCTGCTTTTCTTCTCGGTGTTCAGTCATTAACATGACCGCCCGACCGGACACATACCCACAGCCGTATAGTCGAAGTCAGAACCGGCTCCTGACAACGAGACTGAGCCGGGAGAAGGCCGAGAAATAACGGGAGTGACCGGTCCTGTCACACCTTGCTGTTAGCGGCTAGCGGCTAACTGTGTTTACTCTTAATTAGTTACTGTGTGACCAAGGGGTAAGGACTGTCTGACGGGTCACTTACTTTCTGACTAGTTACTACTTTCTGATGGGTTAGTTACTTCCTGAATAATTAGTTGTTTTCTGACGGGTTACTTTCGGAGGGTTTATTACTTGCCTCAGGGATGGGTTAGTTATTCTCTATTCCAAAGTTGTTGATGACCCGTTTCCATGGAAACTAGAAAATGTTTAATATTTCTGATTTTAGTTTTTATTTTTGTCCTAAACAATGAAAATCTGCTGGGCCTAAGATAATTTAGCCAACAGGTGTATTTAAGTCCATTTGTTGTATTTACATTCAGTCACTAATTATAATTTTTAACTTAAATAATTAAATGATTACGAAAGTTTTGGGGGGGTTTAACTCAGAAAACAAAGTCCTTTATTAGTCTCAAAGGGAATTTAATTGCTATAACTCTTTGGATCTCCTGTAGCAGCCAGTCTTGTAGTGAATATGAGAGGCCTCTGACTGTAGACTTGCTGTGTGACAGTTTCATCACTTGCCAACATGCTAACAGTCTCATCACATGCTAACAGTCTCATCACATGCCAACATGCTAACAGTCTCATCACATGCCAACATGCTAACAGTCTCATCACATGCCAACAGCTCAGAATGCAGAGATGATGGCTGTGTCCAAATTCAGGGTCTGCATCCTTCGAAGGGTCAAAGTTCAGGTTTATTTAAGCTTTTAAGAAGCTAATCAGCTGCTCCTGGTGATGGAAGGAAACCATAAAACCATTGTGACATCTGAAATTAATAATCTGACGGATTTATTATAAGAGGACAATTTTAAAGAAAAAGAAAATACGCAAGAAAAAAATCAGCTTCTTTTTTCACTACAAACATGGATTTCAGATTTCTGCAACTGAAAGCAGTTGTGTTCCAGAGGATTCTGTATTTATTCATGAGATTAAACCGATCAGAACATCTCAGGTCCAGTTGGTGTTGACTGGTTGGGCCTGAATCATGTCAGCCAATGTGTCCGACATGACCTGAGTGTGTGTGTGTGTGTGTGTCCTCTCAGTGACTACTTATTCAAGCTGCTGCTGATCGGTGACTCTGGTGTCGGGAAGTCCTGTCTCCTGCTGCGGTTTGCAGTAAGTCTGACCTGTCTGTGATTGGCTGCAGCGCTGTCTGACCTGTCTGTGATTGGCTGCAGCGCTGTCTGACCTGTCTGTGATTGGCTGCAGGACGACACGTACACAGAGAGCTACATCAGCACCATCGGGGTGGACTTTAAGATTCGGACCATCGAATTGGACGGGAAGACCATCAAGCTGCAGATCGTAAGGAGCCGCCGATCGTAGCAGGACGCCACTGTAATGTGCTCGGCGCTGACCTTTGACCTGCTTCTCTGCAGTGGGACACGGCGGGCCAGGAAAGGTTCAGAACCATCACTTCCAGTTACTACAGAGGAGCTCACGGCATCATAGTGGTGTATGACGTGACGGATCAGGTCAGTGACCTCTGACCTTTAATCAGCAGCGTTAGCTTAGCAGATGTTAGCAGTCATCAGAAAATGTCGATATCTGGTTTTATTTTCCTGATGCTGTTATGGGTGTGTGTACTTGTAGGACCACTTCCAACAGCGGGAGGTCACTGACCTTTTCCTGACCTGCCTTTATTTTCTGCTGGTTAGATTCTGAGTTAAGTTGTGCTTCATGTTCAGGTTAGGAGCAAACTACTACAGAAATGCTGCAAATGTTGCCTCTTCCTCTCGTACCAAGGTTTCTGTTCGAAGTGCTTTGATGGCTTCTAGTGACCAAGATTTAAGAGAGATTTCTAATTTGTATGAAGAAGCGATATGTAAAACTTTGGAATAATTGCTGAAAAATCTGAGCATTTATTTTGATTATGCAAACCTGGTCTTGTCTATGTTGCCCCGCCCGTTTTCATATGGCGTCCCACGCTGCCTCTGGCCCCGCCCCCTCAGTAACGCTGCGTTCTGCTGGTCTGCAGGAGTCGTTCAACAACGTGAAGCAGTGGCTGCAGGAGATCGACCGCTACGCCAGCGAGAACGTCAACAAGCTGCTGGTCGGCAACAAGAGCGACCTGACCACCAAGAAGTTGGTGGACTACACTACAGCCAAGGTATGACCCTTGACCCCTGACCTCTGGTCTGAAGGAGGCCGTGTAGCATTCTGACTTCTGACCTCTGCAGGAGTTCGCGGACCACCTGGGCATCCCGTTCCTGGAGACGAGCGCTAAGAGCGCCACCAACGTGGAGCAGGCCTTCATGACCATGGCGGCTGAGATCAAGAAGCGGATGGGCCCCGGGGCCACGGCCGGCGCCGCCGACAGGTCCAACGTGAAGATACAGAGCAAGCCGGTCAACACTTCGTCTGGCGGCTGCTGCTGAGAGCCGCTGCCGCCCCTCCCCCCGGCCAGCAGTAGGACGATAAGCCCCGCCCCCGCCACCCCCCGCCGTCTCCTCGTCACTCGGAACCGTTTTTAAGTCTCCTGGGTCCGGACGGAGCGCGCTCAGACCGGCAGCGCGCTCGCCTCCACGCCTCGCCCCCTCAGCAGGCTCCGCCCCCTCAGCCACGTGCCTTCAGGGCAGAAGAACCCGCACCGCCCAGACAACATTCCCATCAGGCGGCGCGCGCGCTGCCGGCCCGGTCGGAGCGGCGCTCCCACAAACTGTATATATTTATACATAAATGTTTGCAGAAGCTGTAGAAGAAGAAACCTGAGCAGCTGATTGGCTGCGGACGCCGCGGCTCTGCGGCTCAGAGTCTATTAAACAATGAAGGAGATGTTTGATAACAGATCGCCTGTCTGGTCTCTTCTTCTGCAGGACGGTGAATCCTCCAGCAGTTCCCCTGCATGGCCTCCAGGGGGCGCCTCAGCGTTTGTAGATGAGGTCATGTTGCGTCAGAGGTCACAGACCCTGACAGGGTTCTGGTCTGAAGGTCCAGTTTATCACTGCAGAACCTTCCAGAACCAAAGATGCTCAGAGTGCTTGACTCTGAGCATTGTTGCTAGGCTACAGTGACATTTAATCAAGAGTAATCAAATATATTGATCATTGATTGTTATTTAAGTACTCTTGATCCCAAAGAGATGTTAATTGAGATCTCCTGTAACAGTTAGCGTTACAGCACCGGAAGAAACCTCTGACTGTAGACCAAGTCTCAGAGGATCCTGGTGGTTCATAAGTTTCTAGGTTTTACATGAAATTTTCTTTGTGTCATCATCATCATCATTTCCAGAACAGAACCAGAGCAGGTCGTTGGTTCAGCCTGGTTCTGATGTTTCTGCTCCAACAGATGACCGCTAACCAGGCTGTTCGCTTTGATTTAAAGGAACTCATGGTTTCAGCATCTTTGCAGTTTTCTGGAAGTTTGTTCCAGTTTAACTTATGAGGTGTTGATACTAAAT